TTGTGGGAAAATTCTACTACCAGTCCTTCATCACCTTACACGAAATAGGCTGAATACATCTCATTACAATTGGGAGTTAACTTGTATGGAATTCCACTGCGACAGCCACATCTTGGGATCATTCTCAGGCAGGCTCAAATGGAGAGTCGACACCTGCAATGTCCGGTTATTTATCGCAATTTGTGGGCTAAAAAGCAAAATTCCTCACCAACCTGCACAATTCCACCATGGCCAGGTTGATATATCTTCAAAACAAAGTTAGCCTTTTTTGTAGGAGAAGATGTCATGAAACTCACGTTTCGGATGTCCGTAAAACTGCCAAACAGCAATTAAGGTTCTTTAAAGTAGTGACTTTAGTGACAAAAACATAATCGCTTTTAGGTTCAGCTTAATCATCTAAAGGTGTGGATCCAGAGCGATTCCACCATAAAAAAATCGTGCAAATCGACAGAAGTCAAGACTTCTCTTTGCCCTTCTGGGGATTGTTATAGTTTTGGTAATTGACGCCCTATTCTCTATTGCACATCAAATTTACTGACAGCTTCGAGGAAATAATAAAATTGGCGTCAGCTTTACTCATATCATTGCAAGAAAATTCTACTAGCATTCATTCATCACCTTAAACGAAACAGGGTGAATACTGATTTACTGGTAGTATCAAAACTCCACTTGCATCCGAAAATAATAACATTAACTAAATCAATTACTACTCCCCCTCAGGCATCTTAATTATCCTGGAAGCTGGTTCGTACTAGAGTATCTTTGAAGAGTCAATACAATGTTGAACCCTAACTTTGAAGATGAGCCTGCCTTCATTGAGTTTCCCTCTTCAAACTTGAGTCAGATGAAATCGATACTTTCTGGACCTTCGGTTCCTTTGGAGTCTTCAAAGGCCTTGCAAGAAAACCAGATCTTCGAAACAGACGTGGTAGCAGCCTCGAGCGAGTTAGATTCTGCCAAGTCTCGTCGGGACGACCAATGGGATGTGGATAAACACGGATGTTGGTACTCCTTCAAGAGGTGGTTGAGAGGTGAGTTTAATTGTCACATATTCATCTTCCTCCTATGTTATGATAAGTATGATTTTGTGTAAAAGAGACTGATACAGAAATTTATTGGTCGATCTGACCAGAAGCAAACCTCGTACTTCTGCTAGTCTGTAGTCATTTAATAAAATTTCTTAATGTTTTTAAATTTACCACTCAATGGTATTATGAAAGTAAGGTTTGTGAGTATTGGGTTTATTCGGGGGATACATCGTTCGCCATCTTGGATGATTATTGAAGCAGGTCCCAACATGAAGTTTGCAGGAAAGTCTGCAGTCAGTTGATTATATCTATTGGTGCGTATCTATTTAATGATCCTTCGCTTTCTAAAATTTCAACTGTTTACGCTATTTCTCAGCAAATCTTATATTTTTGATTTCTTATTACTTTAGTTTTTAATATATTTTTCGTCCCAGAGGTATAAATAGGGCTTTTTGGTCGAGCTAGATTTGAAATGTTCGAATATGGCTTTTTGTTTTTGACCAGTAGCTTCGTTTTTTAAATTTATTGGCTTCGCTTGATCGCACGAAATAACTTGGGAGTTCTAAGAATAGGGTCGGTCATCAGTGATATTGGTATCATAAAGTTGGTGGCAATAATAGGATTTTTTATTTCCATGTTTATAGATTGCAAAATACTATTTATGCTTCTTGGAGGATATTGGTGGGTAAGAATAATTAATTTAAAGTTACATTTGCTGACAGAAATCCTCAGATTCAAATATACCTCTTATAGAAAATTCAAATGAACTCTAAACAAAGAAGGCTAACCGACCCTAACTAAAACGAGGTTTAAACTCAGAAGGATGATAATAAAGGTCTGAATTAAATAAAATATAAAATTGTTTGGCGAATCCTTCTCATATAAATACAGGTGACTACTTCTTTGGGCTTGTCTGGGTGCGCATGTATATGTGCAATCCAGGATACGAAGCTCACAGTCATGGGAACAGAACCAGTATTGTATCGTGATTTACTTACGTATAGATAAACGCGTATAGAAATAATTCTATATCTCCTCTTAATCAGTCCTATTTTGTTGTTTTGTGTATATAGAACACGCCAGAGGAGCCGGTTAATCTTGATGATATAGCATTCCTTGGAATTTTCGTATGAACTAGACTAGGCTCATTGGAAGTCTTTCATGTGACACGACACAGGAAAGCTCAAGCAGTCTTCACCGGAGCCGAAAGAGGATTTACTTTCACATTTATTTTAGCACAACGCTTAAAGTGTTAGACATTAATTGCGCATAAGGATAGACAAAGGTTCATATGATGTTTATGCACTAGGTCCTTAATGTTTTGACCTCTTCTAATCACTTTTTTTCACTGCTAGTCCTCCATTTACGAATTTATCAGCCTCGAAAATTTCCTTGAAAGATAGATTCGTCAAAAATTAAGTTGAAGATTTTATTTATTTATTATAATTCGAAATAAACTTAATTTAAGTAACATTTTACATAACAGAAATGAATGTCCGGCCTGCCTTGGTTGAATTAAATACATGTAAAAGTTAGGCCGATTTGGTGTAACCAAACAAAAGCAGGAGTTATTTATAAAGGTATTAGTAAATCGGATAAAATGTATATGCCTTACTGATATAATCAAATAAATAGTTTGAATAAAAGATATGAGGACCAAGATGTTGTGGCCTCTGGTATGGTCT